TGGAAGTGACAAGAAACGTGTCAAGCCAGCACGTCAGGGAACCCACTAGGATGAGAGGCAACGATGATCCAGTGAGACTCGACCTGGTCTTCACTCTGAACGACTCAGACAAAGGGAAATCGAGACTCGACCTGGTCTTCACTCTGAACGACTCAGACATAAGGGAAATCGAGACTCGCCTGGTCACTCTGAACGACTCAGACATAAGGGAAATCGAGACTCGACTGGTCTTCACTCTGAACGACTGAGAGGGAAATCGAGACTCGACCTGAACACTCTGAACGACTCAGACATAAGGGAAATCGAGACTCGACCTGGTCTTCACTCTGAATGACTCAGACATAAGGGAAATAGGTTTCGAAGCCCCGGTGGGAATGAGTGATCACAGTGTACTGTTGTTTGAGTATCTGGTCGAAGTAGGGTTAGGTACTCAAGGAAAGATGCAGAAAACAAAAAACTGGCATTCCAGAAGGGAAACTATGTGGAGATAAGAAAATTCCTAACAGATATATAACATGGGAAACAGAGCTCAGACGAAAGATGGTCCAAGACATGATGGAGTATATCACGCAGAAGTGTAAGGAGGCAACAGACAAGTTCGTCCCAATCCAAAAGAAAAAAAAACGAAATGCAGGCAAGAAACCCATGGTTTAATCAGAGATGTAAGCTAGCTAAACAGCACAGTAAAAGGACATGGAGAAACTATAGAAATAACAGGACATTAGAGAGCAGAGAAAGATACCAGAGCGCCGGGAATGAATACGTCAGAGTGAGAAGAGAGGTAGAGAGGCAATATGAAAATGACATAGCGAGCAAGGCAAAGACTCAACCTAAATTGCTGCACAGCCAAATCAGGAGAACAACAGTGAAGGAACAGGTAATGAAATTGAGGACAAGGGCACAGAGGCCCCAGCCTCCAGGGTAGCTCCAGCCTCTAGGGGAGCCCCAGCCTCCAGGCTAGCCCCAGCCTCCAGGGTAGCCCCAGCCTCCAGGGTAGCCCCAGCCTCCAGGGGAGCCCCAGCCTCCAGGGTAGCCCCAGCCTCCAGGGTAGCCCCAGCCTCCAGGGTAGCTCCAGCCTCTAGGGGAGCCCCAGCCTCCAGGGTAGCCCCAGCCTCCAGGGTAGCCCCAGCCTCCAGGGTAGCCCCAGCCTCCAGGGTAGCCCCAGCCTCCAGGGTAGCCCCAGCCTCCAGGGTAGCCCCAGCCTCCAGGGTAGCCCCAGCCTCCAGGGTAGCCCCAGCCTCCAGGGTAGCCCCAGCCTCCAGGGTAGCTCCAGCCTCTAGGGGAGCCCCAGCCTCCAGGGTAGCTCCAGGGTAGCCCTCCAGGGTAGCCCCAGCCTCCAGGGTAGCCCCAGCCTCCAGGGTAGGGGAGCCTCAGCCTCCAGGGTAGCCCCAGCCTCCAGGGTAGCTCCAGCCTCCAGGGTAGCCCCTGCCTCCAGGGTAGCTCCAGCCTCCAGGCTAGCCCCAGCCTCCAGGGTAGCCCCAGCCTCCAGGGTAGCTCCAGCCTCCAGGCTAGCCCCAGCCTCCAGGGTAGCTCCAGCCTTCAGGGTAGCCCCAGCCTCCAGGGTAGCTCCTGCCTCCAGGCTAGCCCCAGCCTCCAGGGTAGCCCCAGCCTCCAGGGTAGCCCCAGCCTCCAGGGTAGCTCCAGCCTCCAGGCTAGCCCCAGCCTCCAGGGTAGCCCCAGCCTCCAGGGTAGCCCCAGCCTCCAGGGTAGCTCCAGGCTAGCCCCAGCCTCCAGGGTAGCCCCAGCCTCCAGGGGAGCCTCAGCCTCCAGGGTAGCCCCTGCCTCCAGGGTAGCTCCAGCCTCCAGGCTAGCCCCAGCCTCCAGGGTAGCCCCAGCCTCCAGGGTAGCTCCAGCCTCCAGGCTAGCCCCAGCCTCCAGGGTAGCTCCAGCCTTCAGGGTAGCCCCAGCCTCCAGGGTAGCCCCAGCCTCCAGGCTAGCCCCAGCCTCCAGGGTAGCCCCAGCCTCCAGGGTAGCCCCAGCCTCCAGGGTAGCCCCAGCCTCCAGGGTAGCCCCAGCCTCCAGGGTAGCCCCAGCCTCCAGGGTAGCCCCAGCCTCCAGGGTAGCTCCAGGCTAGCCCCAGCCTCCAGGGTAGCCCCAGCCTCCAGGGTAGCCCCAGCCTCCAGGGGAGCCTCAGCCTCCAGGGTAGCCCCAGCCTCCAGGGTAGCACCAGCCTCCAGGGTAGCCCCAGCCTCCAGGGTAGCCCCAGCCTCCAGGGTAGCCCCAGCCTCCAGGGTAGCCCCAGCCTCCAGGGTAGCCCCAGCCTCCAGGGTAGCCCCAGCCTCCATTGTAGCCCCAGCCTCCAGGGTAGTCTCAGCCTCCAGGGTGGCCCCAGCCTCCAGAGTGGCCCCAGCCTCCAGGGTAGCCCCAGCCTCCAGGGTGGCCCCAGCCTCCAGAGTGGCCCCAGCCTCCAGGGTAGCCCCAGCCTCCAGGGTAGCCCCAGCCTCCAGGGTAGCCCCAGCCTCCAGAGTGGCCCCAGCCTCCAGGGTAGCCCCAGCCTCCAGGGTAGCCACAGCCTCCAGGGTAGCCCCAACCTCCAGGGTAGCCCCAGCCTCCAGGGTAGCCCCTGCCTCCAGGGTAGCCCCAGCCTCCAGGGTAGCCCCAGCCTCCAGGGTAGCCCCAGCCTCCAGGGTAGCCCCAGCCTCCAGGGTAGCCCCAGCCTCCAGGGTAGCCCCAGCCTCCAGGGTAGCCCCAGCCTCCAGGGTAGCCCCAACCTCCAGGGTAGCCCCAGCCTCCAGGGTAGCCCCAGCCTCCAGAGTAGCCCCAGTCTCCAGGGTAGCCCCAGCCTCCAGGGTAGCCCCAGCCTCCAGGGTAGCCCAGCCTCCAGGGTAGCCCCAGCCTCCAGAGTAGCCCCAGCCTCCAGAGTAGCCCCAGCCTCCAGAGTAGCCCCAGCCTCCAGGGTAGCCCCAGCCTCCAGGGTAGCCCTAGCCTCCAGGGTAGCCCCAGCCTCCAGGGTAGCCCCAGCCTCCAGGGGAGCCCCAGCCTCCAGGGTAGCCCCAGCCTCCAGGGTAGCCCCAGCCTCCAGGGTAGCCCAGCCTCCAGGGTAGCCCCAGCCTCCAGGGTAGCCCCAGCCTCCAGGGGAGCCCCAGCCTCCAGGGTAGCCCCAGCCTCCAGGGTAGCCCCAGCCTCCAGGGGAGCCCCAGCCTCCAGGGTAGCCCAGCCTCCAGGGTAGCCCCAGCCTCCAGGGTAGCCCAGCCTCCAGGGGAGCCCCAGCCTCCAGGGTAGCCCCAGCCTCCAGGGTAGCCCAGCCTCCAGGGTAGCCCCAGCCTCCAGGGTAGCCCAGCCTCCAGGGTAGCCCAGCCTCCAGGGGAGCCCCAGCCTCCAGGGTAGCCCCAGCCTCCAGGGGAGCCCCAGCCTCCAGGGTAGCTCCAGCGGACGTTGTCTTCAGATTATTTCTTGGTTGAGTTGCGGTTATGGGATTAATATAATGGAAGAAGAAGACTTCCCCCCCCCCCTCCTCTGATCCCTCTGGCCATCTCTTTCTCCTCTCGCTTCCTCTACTTCTTCCTCCCTTACAATTGCTCTTTACATTTCTTCTCACATTTCTCTACATTTCCTTACTCTTTGGTTTTCTCCTTCGGCATGTGCTGCTCCTGCTCCCCGTTCTTATCTTGCAGTCCAAGCGTCGACTAGTACTCTTAGTGAATTACTGAGAAGTTCTACAGGAGCACTTGTAAGATATCATTGGAAGTCAGAATCCTACTTTGCGAAGATTTCAGGGCTCAATGTCCTCGCGGCGCGGTCCCAGACCAGGCCTCCTGGTTGCTGGACTGGTCAACCAGGCTGTTTGACGTAGCTGCTGGCAGCCTGACGTATGAATCACAGCCCGTTTGATCCGGTATCCTTTGGAGGTGCTTATCAATTTATCTCTTGAACAGCGTGAGTGGTCAGCCAGTTATGTCCTTCAATGTGTGTAAGTAATTATCAAAAGAAGGCACCAAGCCGGGAAGGCTATGTAACACCATCAAATGTGCTGGATAATCATAGGGCACTAACTTAGGGGGTGCCTTCTCGCCGTGCCCAGTGGCTGGGGGGATTGGTGCCCTGAAACTACTTAAACGCCCTATAACCCCCCCCCCCCGAAGTGGCAAGGGGAGTTAGGGGATAACAATACTAAGGATGCCAATACGATAACAAAAACTCACAAGTCAAATGATATCGAAGGTACCCGACTCACCAAGGATACTATCCAAGGACAAGTGAGAGCGAGGGACGGACGGGAAGCAAGACACACGTTCGTCCTGGAAGTCATTCAAGAAGAATATGCACGACCGTAAGAGGGACAATGCAGTTTGGACAATAAGGAGCAGGGCGGCGCTCCATTAAGTGCCCGTGAGTTAAACGTGTGTGGCCAATACGTAACCTCGCCAGTGTACCGGGCCGGAGGTAATGGCTCTCGTTCACTAGCTCGCCCCTAGTTAACTATACTAAATAACCGAGAGCTCTACCATAGCCTTCAGTCCACTCCTCGTGACCTGAGGTGTGTGACCGCCTCAGACACTACATACACTAAAAACTGTACTGGACCGCTAGTAAACACTGAGATCTTCCAATTACTGCCACCAACAACCCGTATAACAATAACTATTAAATAATTGTGGGCTGGATCAATCAATTAACCATTAAATCCTTGAGGGTTAATTCCCAATTAATTGAAAAGGGATGTTGAATTTATGACAAGTGTGGATTAGAAAATAAACCAAGGTAATATATCCGATATTAAATAGACTAGGCTTGCTTGGACATACACCGGTGACTCGTTCAATAACCACGTGGTCAATATGGTCAAGACAACATCTATATTCTTACCGGTGAACTCAAAACACAAACACTAGAAATTAATCAACAAGTTTATTGAAACAGAATTAATAGTAATGGGACAAATTAACACGGCATTCCCTACTCTGAACACTTCCTTAACTGAAATACATCCTGCTGAAATATTTCCTAAAATAGAGGCAATAAATTAATGGATCTAAAATGAACTGTATCAACTCTTTCAGCACTTTCAGCCCAGCCTGATGTTCGTCTGGCCTTCTGGAGGCTAGATGATGGCCTCCCAGCTGTGCACTCCACACTCTCCTACCCTCTGACCTCCAGACTGTGAAGCTAACTAGGATTACTCCACCAGCCTCTCTGGCTGCCAGATTAGTACGCAGGGATAATTGAAGAAGCTAATCTTATTTACTGGTCACCCAGATGATTGAATTCCTATTGAAACTGATGGTAATTCTATTGGTTCTTGGACCCGGCTATTTTGCATTACAAAATTTAATAGTGGCCTGAATTTTATTATTTATGAATTAACAATACGGAAGGTTGTGGTCTTCCTGGCCGCCTGACCTTGACCCAGGATGGGTCAAGACATAGCCAGCCGTGCCCGATGAACTAGTTCCCTATTCTAAATGATGTCACTGTCTCTTTGACAGCATGCGAGCCTTGATCTTTACTCTAAATTCATGTTAACATAACATAAGTACTTAACCCACATTGATTATTACAACAATTACTCTTATTATTGAACTATTCATCAATGATTAATTAACACAAGGGAAACATAGCCATTTTGTCTTATACCCCCCCCCCCCCCCCCGCTAATCCTTTAATCTTTGGCGAGTGACCTTTTGCTTCTACCCAGGTAAACAGTTTCCTTTGACTGCAACTAACTTGTGTTCCCCTGTAACCCACGTGATCTATACACTTCTAAAACTAGCTTAGCTTGTTACACCAGAGCCGTTTCCCACCGCCGGTTACGGTGGTATGAGGAAGGCCAAGGGGACACATTACCCTTAAGAGCACGCAGTTTGTTACCAGTAACAGAAGACCAACAACCCTGCCAATGAGCAAGAATAGAGGAATGAATAACTGGGTAAAATTCGGAATAAAGAATACTTTTACTGGAGAATGGACAAGTGCAGATAGCCTCCTTAGCGGCAGCATCCGCACGTTCATTTAGGGACACACCAATATGGCTGGAAAGCCAGCAAAACTCCACTGTCTTAAAGCTACTGGAGATAAGAAAAAGCCAATGTTGAATCTCGACTACCACCGAATGGAGTGGATTAAAGTGCACCAGAGACATAGGGCACTGTGAGAGTCAAGTACAACCATAAAGGAGGATTGACAGCGAGAAAGCAGGAGACGGGCATAGAGAATAGCATAAAGTTCAGTCATGAAGATGCTAGTCTCCACAGGCAGGCGACACATAAAGGTGTGGTCAGGAAAAACAACAGAGTAGCCTACACTATCTGCAGACTAAGGCCCATCGGTGAAGACGGAAATGGAGCAAGAGTGTGAAAAAAAAAGTATTCAAGGAAAAGGAGTCTTGTAACTGTCTGGGCAGCCACTATTGGCATTGAGGCACATTCCTATGTTTGTTTCCTTAGTGTGAAGAAACACTACATACTTACATTTCCAAACATAGGAATGTGCCTCAATACCAACAGTGACTGCCCAGACAGTTACAAGAGGAGTGTTGTCAATGCTTACATAGACCGTGCTCTCAGCCACAGCTCAGGATGGAAGCAAGTCGATGAAAACCTCTGTAGGGTAAGGCAGGTCCTAGTCAATAATGGTTTCTCTAATGGTTTTGTTGAAGACATCATAAAAAGAAAGGTGAAATGCCATGCAACCTCTGAAGAGTCAACTAACACTACACCTGTACCCACTATTAAACTATTTTACAGGAACTTCTTTTCGACGGCTCATAAAACGAAGGAAAGGGTCCTAAAAGATATTGTTGATAGGAACGTTATCCCTACAGACAAAAATCAGAAAATACAATTGACGATTTATTATAAAACCAAAAAACCGGCCAACCTACTCATGAAAAACTCTCCAGACACCAAGCTGAACGCCTTGAAGGAAACCAACGTCGTCAATGCCTTTAAATGCCCACTTGGGGACTGTAAACCCCAAAGAACTCAGTACATAGGCAAGACAACAATGTATCTTTCCAGGCGATTAACAATGCATAAACAACAGGGCTGCATCAAGGAACATATAATCTCTTCCCACAACCAGACCATCACCAGAGAAGTCTTAACAAACAACACAGAAATCATCGATAAATACAGCGATAGCAGAAGGCTCGACATCAGCGAGGCACTATACATCAAAAAGTCAACACCAGCAATCAACAGTCAATGCAGAACTATGTTCTACCCACTTCAAGACCCCGAACCAATATAGACACATCAAGAGGAAGTATGGGCCAATAGGCCTTCTGCAGTTACTTCCATTCTTATGTTTTTATACCCATTGGTTCGTGTTCTATCATGTGCAAATGTCAATCACCTCACCCAAAACCTTTGTACCATATCACCTCACCCAAATGCGCCTATAAGTATGGATGTATTTTGCGTGTTTACAGGTTACAGTTTTTTTTGTAAACATATGTTGTTGAATATGACCGAAAGGGTAAGATTAATGATTCTAACATGAATCTTCTAAATATTTCTTACGTTTTTCTTCACTGTCGGGGGTATTTGAAAAATTAACTCTCCAAAGTTCATTTTCTCATTTTTTATTCATGATCTGACGCCTAAAAGCGTTTCGCAAGGACTTCTCACATTTCCAAAGACAGGTTTACACATATCATTTCATGTTTATATTAGTTTTGGGTGAGGTGATATGACACAAATGTTTTCGGGTGAGGTGACACAAATCAATTGGTATGAATTGCATATGGGAACATAAGAATGAAAGTAACTACAGAAGGCCTATTGGCCCATATTTTCTCTTGCTGCTTCTATGTTGCTTCTTCTATAAGTTATGTGTTAATTGGCTGTTGATTGCTGGTGTTGACTTTTTGATGTGTAGGGCCTCACTGATGTCTAGTCTCCTGCTTTCGCTGTATCCATTGATGATTTCTGTGTTGCTTGTTAAGATTTCTCTGGTGATGGTCTGGTTGTGAGAGGAGATTATATGTTCCTTGATGGAGCTCTGTTGTTTGTGCATTGTTAATCTCCTACAAAGAGACGTTGTTGTCTTGCCTTTATACTGAGATCTTTGGGGCTGACAATTCCCAAGTGGGCATGTGAAGCTATAGATGACGTTGGTTTCTTTCAAGGCGTTCTGTTTGGCGTCTGGAGAGTTCTTCATGAGAAGGTTGGCCGTTTTCTTGTTTTTGTAGTAAATTGTCAATTGTATCTTCTGATTTTTTCTGTGGGGATAACGTTCCTATTAATAATATCTTTCAGGACACTTTCCTCCGTTTTATGAGCCGACGAAAAGAAGTTCCTGTAAAACAGTCTAATAGGGGGTACAGGTGTTGTGTTAGTTGACTCTTCAGAGGTTGCATGGCGTTTCACCTTTCTTTTTATAACGTCTTCAACATAACCGTTAGAGAAGCCATTGTCGACTAGGACTCACTAGGAGCGACAGTGAAGAAAAATGTAAGAAATATTGAGAAGATTCGTGTTAGAATCATTACTTTTACCCTTTCGGTCATATTCAACAACAGATGTGAGTCTTCTCACATCTGTTGTTGAAAATATATATATATATATATATATATATATATATATATATATATATATATATATATATATATATATATATATATATATATATATACACACATACACTATATAAAAATATATATAGAAATAGTAGTAGTGGGAGAGGCCAGGAGGTTCATGTAAAAAGTTGTTCCCAGGGGACCGTGGCAGTCGGCCATTACTTCCAGCTCAGCAGCCGGTGTCCATGTTGGAGACGGGAGGGACCAGACACCAGTCGCAATATGTCTTGATGAAAGCTTCCCTCTCCTCACAGACATCTTTTGTTACCTTATGACTCAACTCTTGCCCACACTTGACCCTGGAGGCGGGCCCTAGGTCACCCTGGGATAGTGAGTGTGGTAGGATGCACGGGATAAGAAGAGATGCATGTTAACTCCAGGTTGGCGGGCGGGTCCCGACGCCCTGATAGCGAAAGATGGCTTCGGCGGCGCGTCGCTTCTAAATTAAGTTTTCGGTCCCGAAGCCCCTTAGGGGTGTCATCTTGGCCGTCTGAGATTTAGGAGGTGAGGTGTCTCAAGGACTGTGACGGTAGTTGGTGACGTGTGACGGTAGTTGGTGACGTGTGACAGGGACTGTGACGGTAGTTGGTGACGTGTGACGGTAGTTGGTGACGTGTGACAGGGACTGTGACGGTAGTTGGTGACGTGCGTCAGGGACTGTGACGGTAGTTTGGTGACATGTGACGGTAATTGACCCCATCCCCTAGGGGCCCCTTTGTCCTTCTTCCAGTTTCCCACTCCGTCACCCCTCCCCCCCTCACCCACCTCCCCTCAGAAACTGTATTAAGAAGGGCTCAAACATCTGTATGGGTCCCCTATCACCCCTTCCCCACCATCTTGGCTCCACCGTTCTCATTCCTCCTGCTCCCCCCTTCCCCCTTCCCCATCAACTCTCCCCCTCAACTCGTACTTCTACCCTCGTCTCCTCTCAGAAAATATATTAAACAGTGTGCATAACTTCTCAGTAACTTCACACTCTATGGACATCATTTCACTGATTTCATCTCAGATTCATTTCAGATTTCATGAAAATCGCTCGGGGGGTGTTTGGTTATACACTGTATTTCTTAAAGCACTTAACTTAGGCCTACCCCGACCAGCCTATGTCCGTCCCATACCCTACACCATTTCCCCTGCAAATTTGGGTGAAGCTTGCTGCAAGCGTCTGACCTCCAACTGTGGACAGACAGAAGAACAGGCAGACAGGCATTCTCTATCTTATAGTGGCGTTATCCTGGCGGTCCCCAGGATACTCTCCCTTCCCCCCACGACTTCCCATTCCACCTCTTTCCCTTTCCCCCTCATCCCTACACTTTCCCCTTTCCCCTCCTTCATACCCCCCTTTCCCTCTCATCTACCCCATTTCTCGCCATTTATTAGGGGTATAGAAGGGGTAGTCAGCTGCACGTAATTGCCCTACACCTGGTACCATTGATGTACCCGCACCGTACCTGGCACCTCCGCTATATACGTGCACTGTAACTGGCGTCCCTCTTGTGCACGTGTAGAGTACGTGGCAGTTAACGTATATACGTACACTTACTTTTTCTGATTGAAGAATGTGTCTCCACTCCATACTATATTGC